TTCTACTGAAGTCCAGATGCTGAAAACTTGTGTTTCTAATAACAAGGTTATTAAAAGGATTCTCAAGACCAGGTTCTAAAGACTCTAAAGATGTAACTCTTAAGTCTCTGAAGACTTGAAGCTCTTCTGATCCAAGGTTCACTACAACTGGTTCTCACGACCAAGTGCTGAAGACTCTGAAGACACAATTCTGAAGACTTGAAGTTTTGAAGACCTCATGTTATGTTCCTGATTTAGAATGAATGCTCGTAGAAGCCTCTGAAATGCATAAGGAAAAAATATAACGGTAACATGGTACAATAATACACAATACATAAAAACCTTATTCCACTACCTCTCCACTAGCTTAAATTGTGGAAGAGAAAAGGACGTAGCAATACTATTTATAACAACTCTTTTTCAAATAGCCAACAACTCTATTTTTATTGGCTATATAAGAAAAGAATCACATGTTTTGAAAGATGTTGGTCGAAAAAAAATCACAAGATGAATGTCGTTGGTGTACAATGTTAAAATGAAAGTTGTCATTATTGGAACACAACCAAAAAGCTATCAACCACTATAACAACAACAAAAACAATTATTATCAAAATGATTCTTCAATCATGTTGATAATGATTACAATGAAATCATTGATTCACAATGTTCTTAATTTCATATGCTTCACAAAGCTTGCTAAGCCGCAAAAGATAATGAAGATGACCATGAAAGTGCCAACTACAAATCCACAATAAAAGTGTTGTGCTCTAAAAGTTATCATAGAAGAAAATAGAGCAAGGGATGATGTCCATAATGTTCTAAGGTAAATCAAGATGAAGAAGTTCTTCTTCTTACTACATCAAGATCAACAAAGCTTTCATAAGCTTATGAAGAAGAAGACTTCAACGTTTCAAGTGTTTTGGGTTATTGTCCATAAAGAAGCTACTTGAAGAAAAGAAGACCACACATTAAAGCTACAATACAATGTAATATCTTTTAGTGTGTATTAGGTTCTTCTGATGTAGTTAATTTTATTTACATCCAACTTGTGTAGAAGCATTATTATTGTAAACAAATGTAAATGAAATAGTTGTTTGATGGTTCCTTGTGAGACTCGGTTGAGTCAGGATTCTCAAGAAGACTCTGGCTGCGGTCATCGTAGATGAAATCCTGGTAGTGGATTCTATTGGGTAAATGGTAGTTATATTTCAAATGGGGCTAAGTGAAGGCCAACCTTGTGAGATCACTGATGGATATCATTGGAAGGAAACCCTGATAGGAGATTCTGGAGAATCAAATTCGGTTAGGTCAATGAATGTTATATCTGATTTAGATCCCTGAACGCGTCATTGGATGTTAGTCACCGACAGGTGCCCGTGCGATTGTAATCATATTGGTTATAGTAGATTAAGTCATTGAGTTCAAGGCGAAATCACCTTGGTAGGGTGGATTGGACTAGCTTGTGGGTTTCTCAAGGATATATCGCATGTTCTTTAATTTTTCTTATGCTTTAGAGTTTATAATTTCTTAACTTAATTAGAAGCATGACTTAGAAGTAACACTCAGAAGCATTATTTAACGGATAATGCTTAGAAGAGAAAGTTATTCAAGAAAGGAAAACCCAATTTAAACCCCCCTTTATTACATTTTCTTCACACCTTCACTTATATGGTTGTGACTTGAATACAAATAACTTTTCATATCATATAAGTATGAAAAGAAGTCAACCTTCTGAATTTTGGAACATACTTGTTTGTTTCCTCATCGCCATACTGCATGTAGGTAACACAATAAGAGTCATTACCAAGCAACGTTCAACTCACACACATACAAATTGAATCATATATAGTAATACATGTCATGTTATTGTATACAACCATTTGTTAACATCCCAATAGCTGAATAAAGGTGTTTGTAATTTCTCTATGATAATTGCAATTTATGTATGATACATCGATATCTAAAAATTCAATATACATTTGTATGAAATTAAAAAGTGGGACCTTTCCACTTTTCCAGAATCCTACCTAATGGAGTTTAATTAATGCAGAGAAAAATCACAATTGAAATATTGTTAGAATCATTTGTAACAGAAAATGTAAAAAACCAATCAAACTGTAAGATGCAATTGATCACAAAATTAAATTAACTACCATCCAATTTCGGGTCTTGGCAAGGTGTCGTAAAAGTGTGTGAATGAAATAAGCAACATCAGCCCTAGGTCAAACAACAAAAGTTGCAAACAAAATTTCTAAAATAAATAAATAAATAGAATTCAAATTTCATGATTCATTAATCACAAAAAGGAAAAATCCAAAACAGAGAATTTAAATATGAAAAATAAGAATCCCAAGAATCACTCACTTCTTAGGTGTATCTCTTTGGGTGGAACCTTATAGATACATCCAAATCCAAATAATAAAAATCAATTCAAATCAAAACTGGTTCATCCATTAAAAAGTTCAAAAAGAATCAAAATAAAGATGGTACAACGTAATCGCTATTGACATGGGCGAGACCAACTTTGGTAGTGTCTTTGATGGCGCCGTAAGCTCTTCGCCATGAATGAAGCGTACCCATTTGAGCGATGATCTCTCAAATTTTTTGCTTTCTCTCTCTACACGGTGTTTGGTTGCGATTAAGAGAGAGAAAGTGGAGTTTCTTTGATTTGATCAAGCCAATAATAATTGAATTCAATTTTCAGAGATAGAAAATATGGATCTAAATATAAAACTCACAAAAGACATACCTTTGAATCGACAACTATTGAGAAGGATTTCAGAAAAGGTCCCTAAACACACAATACTGCAAAAGGGAAGAATGAGAAAATAAGGGTTTAGGGAAAAGAAGGAGAATCAGTTTAGGGAAAGCAAGAAGAATCGATAAATGTAAATGAGGCATGGTAGAGAAACATTTGAGGGTCTTAATAAATCAAAATACACATGCTAGAATTTGAAAAGGCTACAATTAAAAAGATTTTTCAATGTTCCCAATAAAAATATAGCGCTCAAGTAATGTAATGAATGTTGTGAGAATATAAAAAATCTATTTTTAAAAAATAATTAACTATGCGGAAAATCAATAATTAGTGAGTAGAAATGCAATAATTAGGGATGGAAAATTACAATTAGGGTTATGAAAGTCTCTCTCTAAACTTGTTTAATTAAGGGTAAACGATAATTTTGGTACTAGATTACTTTTATATATTAAAAGTAGATAAAAGTAGAGGTGTTTAAAACCGAACCAGCCTAATATAGAACTACAAAACCGAACAAAACCAAACCCTAACTGCATAAAATCGTATTTGGTTCAGATGTGTTTGGACCATTTTAAAAAAAATATGTGCGGTTTGATTATGTTTGCGGTTTGTATTTTACAAACCGAACCAAACCGTATCATGTTACAATCCAAACTTCACTTAAATCACATCCAACCCAAACCTAAACCTATTATGCCTTAATCTTACGATTAGAAACGATTTTCTCTCCTCTCAATTAAGGTTTCAGTTCAAGTCTTCTCAAATTTCTCCTAGCAGTATCACACATTCTTCTCATCTTCTTTTTCAAGTACATCTTGCCTTTTATTCTCTAGTCTCTAATCTCTCATGTTGTTTATTTTTTATCTTATTAATTTTATTCTATTATTCTCTCTTCCAATTACATTTTAAATACATCTCTTCTTCTCTAATCTATTCTCTATTCTCTTCTTTCTTTTTCATCTTCTGTAATCTTTCATCTCCTATGTTTTTCCTATTTCATTATAATGTTTTTGATATTGTTTTATGCTACTATTTTATGTTTTTTATTCTATTTTTCTCTAATTTTATTTTTGTATATTAAATGGAAAGTTCTTGTTCAAATATGATAATTGTTGTTGTTATTTGATAATGCATAAATGACTAAATACAAAGCTATGTTGTCATCTATATGTGTATATATGACACAATAATTTTTTTGTAAAAAATCGAACCAACCGAAACAATTCAAATCACATTGGTTATATTTGATTTGATTCGGTTTTATTTCTAAAAGTCAGCCGAACCACACACTTTTTTCTCTTGTAGTTCAGATGACTTTTTACGTCAAAACTACCCAAACCGCACCACAAACACCCCTAACACATGAGTGTATATGGGTTGGGTAAATCCAACAAATTCAGTAAAACCCATCCAAACTGATCCAAAGAAATGAGTTGAATCGACTTATTGGGTGAACACAGTTTTCAAAAATGAAAAACCATTCAAAATGATTTGGTTATGGGTAAACACACCCAACCCAAAATACCCATGGGTCACGGGAGGTCACTATTTTTTTAGTTATTTTTTATAATTCGATGAGTTATGACTTTGATGTCTTTAATTTTGATTGTTACAATTAGAATCTTTTGAACATATTTTATTTTATAAATAATGATTTTAACATATTTAGAATATCACATTTTAATTATTTTATAAATAATGATTTTAACATATTTAAATGTCATATTTTAATTATGTTAATGTTAATTCTTTTAAAGTGGAAGTATTTTATGTAATTTTAAATATAACGGTGATATAACTTTGATTTTTGCAAATATATTAGTAATAAATTTTATTATACATTTAAAAATTCAATATTTTATAAAACATCAAATAATAAATTAAATTATCTATTAAAAACAATATCACACATCATTTATAATTATATAAATAAGAAAAAAAATGCAAAAAAATTAAGTAACCCACTGTAATTCAACTCACTCCCGAAGGTAATCCAACTCATAAATTTATAATTTTATCTAAACTGACCCAATTATATCATAGATGATTATTTTACCTCACCCAAATCAATATACTCTATATAAGTTGAATTATAATTTTAAGTAAATTAAACCCAATTTATTTCAGTATAAGTTTTATTTTTAATTAAAAAATCCAAATACTCATAAGCTATTTTGCTACCATGTTGAGGATGAAACAGGCAGAGGGCACCACCATATATACACACACAGACAGCACGGCCTGTTTTCTCTAAACACCAACAATGGTTTCTTCTTCGATCTCTCTCAAACCCTTCGCCAATTCGGTTCCCATTTCTCGCTCCACTCAGGTAAACACCGCCACAATGTATCTGGTCCATATATAGTCCAGATACATTAATTATTCGAAGTATCTAAAAAGTAAACTTTTTCTTATAATAAAGGCGGTGTTTGATGTTGATATGCATAATGGTTCAATTATAGAGCACAATTTCTGGAAAGAGCTGGGATAGCTTGGTGTTTTGCAAGTCGGATAATTTCAGAGGAAATATACGGTTGTGTGCAGACGGGTTGAAGCTACGGTGCTCGGTTGATAGAGAGATGGATGTGAGCACTTCTGCTTTGGTGGATGATGGTGTTGTTGCTGCTGAGTGCTTAACTGGTTTATTTTGTGGTTTCGATTATCTACGATGTACTGGTTTTTCGTTTAGGGTTTAGGGTTTATGCTGATTCTTGTTGTTTGCAGAAGAGGAGATAAGGGAGCCTAGCATTTCGACAGTGCTGATGAATTTCAAGAGTAAGTTCGATCCTTACGGTGCAGTTAGTGCGCCGCTTTACCAGACTGCTACTTTTGAGCAGGTGAAAATTTGTCTCAAACAGTTTTTTCTTTGTTGGATGTGTCTGTTTTTGTAACTTTGAAATGTCATTTCGTGCCTAGCGTATGTATATTTAGGGTTGTTTGGATTGGCTTAATTGAACTTATCGTATGTCACAGTGTTTGGAAGAGCTTATCAAAACAGCTTATAACATTATTCATGTTTATTTTTATAAGTTCTCCAAGATAGTTTATGAAAACAATTTATAGCATATAATAAAAAATAGTTTGAACTTATTTTATCTTTTGTTATAAAAAATAGCTCATGCAAACTTATTCATAAGTGCTTATTTTGATAAGCACTTGTACTATAGGCTACAAATAAGCTGTTTATCCAAACAGGACCTTACTATCTCTTGTTTCGTATTCTGTAGTATACATTCATGGTAATTTGTGTCTCTTGGTGCAGCCTTCTGCAATAGAAAATGGTCCCTATGACTATACTAGAAGTGGAAATCCTACTAGAGATGCTTTAGAAAGGTTCGATGTGATTTTTTTGTTTATTTTTTGAATTGTAATTGCGGATGATTCAATGCGGTTTGAATGACCTTTTCATGTTTTTGCATTCTCAGCATTCTTGCAAAACTTGATAAAGCGGATAGAGCCTTTTGCTTCACCAGTGGAATGGCTGCTTTGACTGCTGTTGTTCACCTTCTTAAAAGCGGTGCTTTTTCTTTCTTAACACCTGATCTTAGATTATTGGATTACATCTATGTTTTAAATTCACAAAAAAGTAATGTACATAAGCTATGCACAGTTGGGTTTGTTGTTATTTATTCACTGAATGTTTATGAAAGATATCTCTATTTCTTAATGTTAGTCATAAAATTTGGGTTAATTAAATAGTAAGTAGTGCATATATTTTTACGGTTAAATTATAAATTACATAATTTAATCATGTTAACAAGTATCATAATCAGACTAATGAATTTACATAATTTTATACTTTTGACTCATGTTTTGTTTTAAAGTTTGCATCAGCAGTAATGCACACTGTTTTCTGACCAAGCTTACATGTTATATCTTTCTTCTGCTATAGGCTCTAGTATCCACGTGTCTGTATTCTGACATAATATTTTTTCTAATTTTGAGACTTGATAATTTTTCTCGCTGTTTGATATTTATTTCCAATAATATATTTCAGGTGACGAAATTCTTGCCGCTGATGATCTGTATGGCGGAGCTGATAGGTTGCTGTCCCAAGTAGTTCCCAGGAGTGGAGTTTTGGTGAAGTTAGTGTGATTTATGTTAGTCCAACAAATTTATTTTCTGTACAATGATTAAGTATAGAAAACAAATCATCCAAGTGTCTTGATTCAGTGTGGGCTAAGTCCATCATTGATAGTTATAAATTTTGCATCTGCAGACGGGTAAATACAAGTGATTTGGATGAGGTCGCATCTGCTTTTGGACCCAAGACTAAGCTTGTATGGCTGGAGAGTCCAACCAATCCCCGGATACAAATTTCTGATATTCGAGTAAGAATCTCATGTGTTAATTATGTCAGTTAAGGTTCTTTGCTGCTTTTCTCCTTATGGTAATGTATTGTAGTAAGTATTCTTCTGAAATGGTTCTTTGCTAAGTAATAAACTATTGTTTTTTCTTATCCTTTTAATTAATCTCCAGAGAATAGCAGAAATGGCTCATGCACATGGAGCTCTTGTGTTGGTGGACAACAGTATCATGTCACCTGTATTATCCCAGCCATTGGAACTTGGAGCAGGTATAGGCATAGTATAGCTTAATCGCATGCTAAGCTGGCCAAAACTTCCGAGAAAAAAAGTCAGTGTTTTAACTTTTAAGTAATGAATTAATACTCTAAAATCATGAACTACATAGGCGCAGTTGCTATCAACGCTTCCTGATTTTCAGAAAGGCTATGTTTTGATATCATAGTTTTGAATTTTGAAATGTTCAGTCCATTTTCAATGGACATTGCAATATATTTGAAGAAAAAAGGATCGACTCATTTAAATTGAGGTGTGCAATTGCAAAAACCAAACCTTATCCTACTAAGTAGGGTCTGCTGCATCGATCAACTTCCGCCATAATGTTCTATCCAAGACGATGCTTCACTCCAAATTGTTAATCTCTAGATTGAGGTGTGCAATTAAAGGAAAAAAATGTGAAGTTACAACTAGTGATGAGAAATATTCTTTACTCGTGATTTAACATTTGAGTAGAAATATTTTGTCCGTGGGAGATGAATGCAAATTCTCATTTTCTCTCTTCATTGTATGTTTCTTTATGTATAAAAGATTTTGAAATTTTCAAAGGAGCTAAGCATAGACTTCTATGCAAAAGTATACGTTACACGGTCCCTAAAATTCACCTCACTAGCTGATTCGACTTAAATCCAATTTCACTCTTGATTTCTATGTCAACCATCCCACCCCATAAAGTGAAAGTAAAACATTTGTCTTTATCATCAATGCCCAAACTTTACATAGTTGAAGCTGGTAAATTTTTCCTGCGCAGATATTGTCATGCACTCAGCTACGAAGTTTATTGCTGGACATAGTGATATTATGGCCGGCGTGCTTGCTGTGAAAGGTGAAAGGTTGTAGCTCTTATTTTATATTTATCAGATCTTCAGATTTTAAATATATTAATATATTTTTGACATTGTTGATTTTTAGTCTGAATTTCATCCGTCCATTGGAATGCATGCTTCAATTGGCCGTGTCAATTATTTCACAAGATTTGTTGGAAAAAATATTAACAACATGTCATGACTTTGATTATGATCTCTGGATATTTACTTATTGTTTTCATTGCAACTTGAGTACAACAAGAGTAATAAGCTAAAAAATTACCTTTATAGCTAAAAAATTACCGTTATAACTTATCCGTTAGCTTATAGCTTAGTGTTGAAAAGGTTATTCATAAACACCTGTCACTGCACTTTAAGTATAACCTTCATTTTTCTATATTCTTTCTCTATTGGTTCATTGTTGTACCTATATGCTATTGATTTGTGGATATATTTTCTCAATTTACGTTTTCATTAATAATTACAAAATATGCGAGTAAACATAAATAACCACATATTTGAATGGTGTTAACTATTATAATTGTTGTTGATTTTTGTGGTCAAATTTGCTTAAAACTTTTGTTTCTATTTGATAATAAAAGATCAAACATATCTTTCATTTTCCCCTTATTTTCTATAGACCTTCCACTTCAAATGCTTACCTCCTTTCTTGATTCTCTTTAGGTTGGCAAAAGAAATATATTTCTTACAAAATGCGGTGGGCTCTGGCTTAGCTCCATTTGACTGTTGGCTTTGTTTGCGAGGAATCAAGACTATGTCCCTTCGAGTTGAAAAGCAACAGGTGCTCTTTCAAACATTATTTCAACTTTCAATTGCTGCTATTTATCTAATGATACGGGTGTCATGCCTTATTTCAACTTTCAAGTGCGGAATTTGTAAATTTATAAGTTGAGCTTATGTTTTAGGTCCATTTACTATGCTCTTAAATCTGTCAACATTGTAGCTTTATTTTAGAAAAAATTTGGTTCTGCTTTTGAAGTTTTGAAATTGGATATTTATACTCTGTTTGGTAAAACTAAGCTATATGCTAACGGATAGCTTAAAAACTATCTTTATAGCTGAAAAGCTAATCAATTGAAATTAAGATGCTTGTGTGTATTTTTATTTGGCTTGAGTTTCATTAATTAATTCCATTGTTCTTCTCAATTTTTGTTAACATGGAATTTTCTTCTAGTACTTGCTATGTTACTCAAGAAAGCCAATATGCTACTATCATTATGATATATCTATTTCAATAAGCTACTATCATTATGATATTAAGATACCACTTAATCCTACTATTCTTGCTCTGATAAACTATTTTAACCAAACACTATAAGCCACTGAGACAAGCTTGTTTACCAAACACATCTCATTTGATCAAACAAGCGATAATCTATTTAATTAAGCTATAGACTAGTTTATTGGCATTACCAAATAGAGCCTCAGTCTTTCCTACTGTTTTCCTTTCTGTTATCATTATGCACAATATTTTTTAAGCACAGGCACACTATATATCGGAAGAAGCATACGACATATATATTGGATCAATAACCATATATTTTATTCAATTTTTCAATTTGGGGTTAACATCTCTTAGGAGAATGCACAAAAGATTGCTGAGTTTCTTGCTTCCCATCCACGAGTGAAGAAAGTAAACTATGCTGGTTTGCCTGGTTTTCCTGGACGAGATTTACACTATTCTCAGGTGTTTTTTGATGAATTGAAATTTCATATAACATTTGCTGTGCCTTGCATTCATTTTTTTCATATATTTATATGGCACTTTCCAGGCAAAAGGTGCAGGATCTGTGTTTAGCTTTTTGACAGGTTCACTTGCCCTCTCAAAGCATATTGTTGAAACCACCAAATACTTTAGCATAACCGTTAGTTTTGGTAATAATTCTTCTATCTTGTGCTGGTTATTTTTAACAACATTATTAGATTTACCTTATTTATGAGATATGAATTATGATTAAAATGTGAAGTCTTGCATGCATGCGTAATTACATATTGATTAATTTGATTGAACCTATATGAATGACAGATAACCAGAACATACTAAATATAGAACATATTTTGTTGAGCCAGGAGTTAGTACTTCATAAAAAATAAAATGTATTTCCGATTGTTATCACTTGTATAATTAACTCTGAAGACCGCATGTTCTTGGTCATTGTAAGAGTTAAATGTAGAATGTCTTATTTTTTATTCTTGTTTCTTTCTGTTACTCCGAGCAGTGCCATCTGGTACCTCTGTTTCAGCTGTCTAGAGTTAGTTATATTCAGTTAGAAAAGGTGTATGTTACAATCAATCAAAACAGAATTTCAGAAATTATTCTAGAATGCATTTCTGCCTCTCATTCACCGTTTCTAAAATGGTATCATAGAGCCTGGTTCTGATCTCCGATCAAGACAACTGGAACCAAACTTCACAATGTGTTTGCTTTAAAACAACTAGTGCTCTTGATTATTTCTTTGGAATTGAAGTCAAACCTGCTACTGATGGTTCCCTATTGCCGTGCCGATCCAAGTACATTCCTGATTTACTCCTCAAAACCAATAGGGCTGAGGCTAGTCCTGTTTCAACATCTATGTTTTCTACTGCAAAACTAACTAAAATTGGATCCCCGAGCTTTCATGACCCTACTCTCTATAGGTCAGTAGTGAGAGCTCTTCTGAATTGAGTTTCTCGGTCAATAAAGTCTGCCCATTCATTGCTCACCCATCAGACAATCTCTGGAAATCAGTAAAGGGCATTTTTAGATACTTAGATGGAACCATACAGCTAGGTTTGTATCTTTATCCCCTCCCCTTACATGGCTTTTGTGATGCTGACTGAGCAGTGGGCCGCAGACCCTGATGATCGTTGCTCCACCTCAAGTTCAGCTGTCTCTTTTGGTCGTAATCTACCCTCATGGTGATCTAAAAAGCAAACAGTAGTTGCTCATACTAGTGCTGAGCCTGAGTATCGCAGCCTTGCCCTGATCACTGCTGAATTTCTAGTCTCCAAACCTTGCTGACTGAGCTGAAAGTCCCATTTTCAATCCCCAGTTATCTACTTTGATAACCAAAGCACAATTACCATGACACACAACCCTGTTCTTCATGCTCGTGCAAAACACATGGAGATTGATCTCTTTGTTCGGGAGAAGGTTATGAACAGACAAGTTGTAGTGTTCATGTGCCTAGTGATTTGCAGAAAGCTGATATCTTTACATACCTTCTGCTAAGTTTCTTTAGTTTATATCTCATTTCAGTTCACTATGTCACTTCTTTTTGTGTCATCACTCCATCATCCATGGTAAATGATAGCAAAAGGCAGAGTAACTTGCTTAGAGTAGGTTATTTAAATTGGTAACCTATACATTTCTCGATTCCTTCCACAGTGGAGGCTCCACTAACTGATAAATCAGTGTCCACCACCCAAAATGCTTGGGAAATGTTAGAATTAAAGGAGAGCTTGGTCACCTTGACTTTTAAACGATATTCAATCCTTTTGTTTGGCTAAGCTATTGATCAACCGATAGAATTTCCCATTCTATAAGTAAAGCTTGTGTTGACCAACTATGTATAGTTGTTTAGAAATATTACTTTCAATTTATATATCAAATATTTCTTGGCAAATATTTTATTTTGCTGAAGTATCGCTTAGTACTGGTAGTTATGGCTGGGATATTTAAAGTAACTTTAGTTTGAGAAATGACAATCACACATTGTCTTGGAAAATAATGTGGTGATAGTTTCCAGAGACTCCTGTGTTGTTTTAGCACTTACAGGCTACTACAGTTTATCTTTGATGGCGGTATTTGCTCACTAACATTGGTTTAACTGCTGCAGGGAGTGTAAAATCACTCATCAGCTTGCCTTGCTTTATGTCACATGCTAGCATACCTGCTGCAGTCCGCGAGGCCAGAGGTTTAACCGAAGATCTTGTTCGTATATCAGTTGGTATTGAGGATGTCGACGATCTGATTGCTGATCTAGACAATGCATTTAGAACCGGGCCTCTGTAACTTCATACAAGTATATGTCCACCTTTGTGCAATTGGATTATCTATGTGCTTGTTTTGAATAAAGAAAAAAAAATCTGTTATGATGAAACTGTTGTGAAGATTTGAAAACATGGTTATCCTAACTGTGTAGCCTTTATGGGGACTGAAAACCTCAATGTATTTGTAGTGTATTGAGATGTAGTTGTATTTTTCTTAATCTAAGTTCAGAACATTTATTTAAATTATAAGATAAAGATTATCACCGCATATAAAAACATGTTTAGATTATCTCATTGAAATTCTTAACAAAGTGATTAGTTAAATAATTTTTCCAATTATCTTTTTATACAGAAAACAAAAAGATGAGAAAGATTGAACTGCAGATCCTAAACAAACATAAATGACTTTTTTACTATTATATCTCAAGTTCTCTTATTTATTTGTCGTTTGGGCATAATAACTAAACCATTCATTCTTAAAATTTTAAGGACTGATTTGTAAAATTTTAAGTTTGTAGGACTTATTTGTAATTTTAAAAAGTATAGAGACCAATTAGTAATTTTTTTGTAAAACTAACAGGGAAAAATTATTAAATTTGAAAAATAAAGGAATCAATTAATTTTTTTAAAAATTTTTTAAAAAATTTCAGAAGTGAACGAAATGTAAAATTTTCAAACATAAGAATCAATTTCAAGCTTACAATATATAGTTAAAGAAGAAATTAAACAAAAGAAATTAAATTACTTTCAAAAAGTTTGTTCATCCAATCACACTCTTAAAGAATTGCAAAGGAAACATGAAAAATAACTTTGAACACATGTATTTATGTCTTGAATTGTATAGCAATAGACAAATCAAGCTTTAATAATTTCATCTAATGCATAGGTTGACACCAAAATCAACTTGCAAAAAAGCATGTGTAGTTTCTTGCTATATAAACACCATGAAATATAACAACGTGTATACAAAACTGACCAATGTGGCTCCTAAAAAACAATACAAGCCCAATTATGCTATCCCTTCACTTTACCAATTTAGAGGAACATGGAATCCCTTGAAATTAGGCTTTTGGCATATGAGCCATTTTATCAATTGATCATGTCTTCATGATTCATGAATGCCAAAGGACACTTGGGTAGTGAAGTGATTGCCAAATATCAAGTAAACAAATCCACTAACGACTCAAAATGGCACGAGAGTTTGCTTATTTCAACTTCTCAGGTTTAAATCATGCTAAATGCTATCAATTTCTATATTGGATTAGTTTATAATAAATTTTATTCTAGTTTTGACAGTGAAATTAATCCTTTTAAATTATCTTAAAGTCGGAATATCAATTTTTTTTACTAAAACATGTCGGTTTAATTAAATAGTATTTTATTATCAATATTAAATCGTTCAAAGTATCTTGCATTAGATATTGGAGAGATAGAATTGAAATGTAACAACAATTGAAACTTTTAGATGATAATAATTATGTATTTAGGTACTAAGTGTGCAAGGATTGAATAACCGTTGGAGATATATTTTAGACTCATCTTGATTTCATAAAGTTGTTCAACACGTTGTACTTATCGTTGATTCAACATATAAGACCAACAAGTACATATTTCAACTATTAGAAATTGTTGGTGTTACTTATACTGAGAAGACTTATTCTGTTGGGTTTACATTTTTGGAGAGCGAAAAAAGGAAACTATTACTTGGGCTTTAGAAGTGTGTCAGACAATATTGAAGGACAAAGACAATACGTCGAAAATAATTGTCAACGATCGCGATACCACATTGATGAATTCAGTTGCAAAGGTGTTTCCTACTTCATACACATTACTTTGTAGGTATCATATCACAAAGAATGTGAGAAGTTGAGTTAAACCCGCGGTAGAGACTAAACAGATAAATGGTGAAGACGGGAAAATGGTCAAAGGTAGCGTGATAGTGGAAAGAATAATTGATGCATGGAATATTATAATATTCTTATATGAAAGAGTTATATGCCGATGATGTCATACTTTTCAGGAAGGTGTGTGAGAAATATTCAGATTTGTTGAAATATATTGAAAGTACAATTCTGGACCAAGTGAAGGAGAAAATTATTCGTGTTTGGTCCGATCAGGTTAGACACCTTAGAAATACAACAACTAATTGAGTTGTGTCTGCCCATGCTACATTGAAGAATTAGTTGGAAATAGTAAGGATGATTTGTGTAGTAGAGATTGGGACTATGTGAATCAAATGATCCAAAATCAGCATAATAAGATACATACATCATTTGGTCGCAACATCATAGTGTTGGAACACAGATTCAAAGACAATAATCTATATTCACAGTTGGTCGGTAATATATCTTGAGCAGGATTAAATTTTATTTTTCACGAAGCATAACAAGCTGAGAATGTAGGTTTCGATAGCTCAAAGTATGGTTGCACACTTAGGAAAATGTATGGTCTCCCATGTTCTTGTCTAATTTCAAAGAAGGTGAAAAATGATAGGTCAATACGAATGAATGAGGTTTGTACTCACTCGAAAAGACCCAGGTTTGATGATGATGGTGTGATGAAGGATGGTAAATCGAATACCTCTATCTTGAACGAATGAAAAGTGATACAAGAGATATTTTTGAAAGTCGATGGCAATATGTGTAGCGGTAGAAATGTTCAAGACTAAGCCATTGGATTGACTAGACTTTATACAAATCAAAAATAAAAAATCGCCACCACACTTTATTGTTTCCAAAAGGAATGGGAAAAGAGCGAATAACCCAAAATGGGGGAAAGATTCAAGGTAAGAGGGTTGGTTATGCAAAGGGAAGGTATTAGCACCCTAAACATCTACGGTACTCCGCAGGAACCTCTTTGTAAAATCTGTATATTTTGCCTATAAAATATGTTGTATAGAAATAGATGGTGGAGGTGAGAAGATAAGTATTTTTTATGATTTTTGTACCCGCCGCGGTTGCGAACCTTTAGTGCCTACGTACCACCTTTCGTGCAATAGGGGATCATGGTACACGTAGTTCCTCTTTTAAAAATTTGAAACACAAATGTGTTGGTTAATTTTATGAGATAAAACATCATCGTCATTGTCCGTGTGGAAAACATACTTACTACCCACAATCATGAGAAAGGGAGAATTTGCATCATCTCAAAGTGGAGGATATGGCTTGGATTTTAAAACCAACAATGCCTCACTCAACATCCAAGTGGAAAATATCTCTCTTCACTACATATTATAGAAGTATAGTTGTTTGCATCACTACAAGGATTGACAAGAGTCTAATCTTTTAAGAAAAGTTTAAAGGTAAAAGCCAAAGTGGCAAAATGGTTTGAAATGAGATTGGTTGACTTTTAGTCTTCTCACAAAAAGGTCAAGGTATTATTAAATAGATTGAAGTTTATTTATGAAAATATTTTGAAAATGCATGGACCTAAGTCCAAGTTTATTATGAAAGTGGTTCAAGTTTAGAAACAAGAAGATTTTTCAAAAGGAGGGAGAAGATTTTTGAAATTAAAGAAGATGGAAGGAGAAGAAGAGGCTATCCTAAAGCATAAGGTAAACACTAAGGATAAGAACCATCTAACTAACAAGAATCCAATACTTGACATTATGAGCCAAGATAGAATTCCCATTCTTTGGATTGAAACCAAGCAAGCAAAGATACTAGACCTCTTCTAATGCATTAAGTCTTCACAAAAATTGGGCAGAGTAACAGCTGTATACAAATGAATTCCAGATTACAAACAAAGGAGGTAATCACAAAAAACCTGCACACAAAAACAAACAAGAAACCCAATGTCTTGAGGTAAACCTCAAGAGCTCCAGACAAAATAATCAGATAAGATCTCAAGGTCTTCGAGATAAGCCAAGGTCTCTAATCCTAAGTCCAGGAAAAAGTCCACTGCTCCATAATACCAAGGATAGTAACCAAATAGTCCAAGTACCATTAAGAGTTTTTTTTAGGGTTTAAGTTGATTATTAAGTATATTAAGAAAAGAAAAAGAAAAGCTCAAGTGAGCAACATAAAAAAGGACAAGATAATAAATGCTCAAATGAGCAAAGATGAAAATGGCATGAAATGTAAATGCAAAAAATAAATAGTGCATAAAGCATAGAAAAGAATAAAAGCATAAGATAAAACAAGTCAATAATTAGTGGTTAGTTGGATGACCATCTTGAAACTTGCATTTGGAACTCATTAGAGTATTGGTAGAACCAAAGCCTCCACACAACAAGTTGCATTTGCTTTTTGTCAAGTATATCATCCATTTGGAATTCTCATAAGTACCGTTTAATGATCAACGATATTTAAGTGATCCGCATTGACCAAAGGTGTTGTAGATCCATTAGAGGATTGGTAGAACCAAAGCCTCCACACAATGAATCTCAAGATTATTGGATCAAAGAGATCAAATTAATATACTTGGGCTTGCAATCATAAGTTTGGGCCACAAATGATCATTTATTCGAATCGGGACAAAATTTAGCGCTATGTTAAGCAATCGTAAGTGGACTTATATAGAAGTCGCACCTATTTTGAGGCCGGTCAATAGCAATCTATGCACCATTTGTTTTGAGACATGATATAGAGATCATGCTCCAACAACTTTTGGTGCAATGAGAAGGGTTTGAGATGAAGGGGATTTAGGGTAAAAAGAGAAACCACATTTGAATTAATATTTAATCAAACTATTATTAAAATCATTCATCCATTTTTTGTGGAGTTAAACTTAACACCATGGATCCAATGATGTTAATAAAGCCATGATCAAAAAATTAACCCAAGACAGCCAGAAAATAATCACAAAATAATAATATAATTAATATATACATTAAAGGGTTTAAAAATGTTTAAAAAATGGGAAATAATGAGGAAAATGTCAATTATATTCAAATTAATCAAGAAATGAAAAATAAGACCATAGAAAAATCAGAAAAGAGGCTAAGTGGTTTTATAAAATTTTTGAGAATTTTTAAAAGTCAGAAACTATTTTTAAAAATTAAAATAAATGGGTAAAATAAAC